CGTGAATTTCAGAGAGGGATGTAAGTTATTCAATCGGTCCAAGAAGGCGTCACACTGTTGTACTGAATCAAAATATGTGAACGAGTCGTCGACAAAACGAACGTAAAACTCCGGCCACAGTGTCGTGCCCGTTATGTCCAGCGGTTGAAGGTCCTTGAAGCTGTTTGTATTCGTACGCATAAGCCCGATTTGTGTAAGCAAAAAGAACATGTTTTAGCACTTAGGTTATTTTCGTGAGTTTGCACCCCGTGTTCATGAGTTGTTTCTGCACTGTTCATGCCCGTTTGTCACACTTACTCTTTATTTTAGTTCTCACTTTTTGTAATACTTACCACAAGTTACCCGTCATGTGTCACACTTCTTTGGATTTTTAACCTTTGTTTTCCCTTGATCTCTTTAGTTGCGTATTTCCACTGATGATCGCAACGTGAAAATCGATTTTGGAAACACACAAAACCAAACCTTGAACAAATTGTCATGTTGCGTGGTGATGTCTGCGGCATTCATACTTTTCATTGCTATTATTAAACTTTTATCTCCACGTAGATTATTATTATTATTATTATTATTATTATTATTATTATTATTATTATTATTATTATTATTATTATTATTATTATTATTATTATTATTATTATTATTATTATTATTATTATTATTATTATTGGCAATAAATAAGATAAATTGTGCACTCATAACAACAGCAAAAATGAAGAAAGTCAAGTTCCATAACGTTTTCTTGTGACTGTCATCAGTGGAACGCCGTCACATAAAAATGTAATAACTAAAACACACACTTATATACATGTAGCTAATATGGTTTCAGGTAGAAATACAGCAGCTAACAAGTACAAAAAGCGAAGTTTGCACCTTTGCAATGTGTGCGCACGTTTCTTCAAGCAATTGCAGGTGTTGGAAGCTGTGTATATTCGTACTCGTGACCCTGTGCTATGCAAACAGAAAGAAAACGTTGTATCACTCACACTCTTCAAGTAATACACACGCACCATTACATGCATTCACACAGTATCACATTCATCTGCCACTACCTTTCTCACATACACTATATTCACACATTGCAAAGGTGCAAACTTCGCTTTTTGTACTTGTTAGCTGCTGTATTTCTACCTGAAACCATATTAGCTACATGTATATAAGTGTGTGTTTTAGTTATTACATTTTTATGTGACGGCGTTCCACTGATGACAGTCACAAGAAAACGTTATGGAACTTGACTTTCTTCATTTTTGCTGTTGTTATGAGTGCACAATTTATCTTATTTATTGCCATTTTACGACTATTGTCTCCTCGTCGACTGTTTAACCCTTTATGGACGGATTACTAGCACAGTATCCACCAGAATTACAAAATGTCAGTACAATTTTCAACTTTTCCATGTCATAACTTTGGTGTCCTTCACTTGATTTTCACAATCAAGGGCTCATTGGAAAGCTCTTGGCGAGAGCTACGTCAGGGTACCAATCTCCATTATCCGGCCGCCACAAATCAGGCGCGGTAACACAACAAAGTCGTCTCCAAGCCTGATATGCAAGCAAATTCGTCCCATCAACGCCATTCCACTCTCCTTTATCGCAGAACGCTCAAATTTGTTTGAGACGATTCAAACTTCAGCCGGCTACGTCATTATCATGTGCTCAGTTGCTCAAAGAGCACACGAAAAGGGATTTTCCCCCAAAATGGCGAAATGATCGATCAAAAATTTGAATTTGCCGAGGTAAGAATACGGCGTGCGATATCTCTGGCGTCCGACATTGTAACTCTTCGGCGATTGTTGCATTGGACAGCTTGGAGTTCCCGCTACCACGTAGACCCTTCGATTGTGAAATTTGCTCAAGAAACGATGGAGTTACGAAGTTACGAAGTTTCGATCTTATTAGATCGAAACTCGTACAGTCCGTCCACAAAGGGTTAAATTATTATTATTATTATTATTATTATTATTATTTTTCTTCAGACTTTTCCCGTTTGTCTCTTTCCCTCAAAACCAGTTAATATTTTATGACTTGGGGCTCCCCGCGTGCTAGTTTGTACGTGAAGTGTGTGGGTACAGTGAGGGCTGCGTCCCACCCGCCTGTGTGGATTCACAGGAAGTGTGAGTTACGAAGTCTGAAGAAAACGTTGAACGGTCTCTGCTTGGATGACGACTACACCATAGCTCAGTGGTTAGAGCATCGCTGGCTACAAGCGAGGGTCCCTGGTTCGAGTCCTGGTGGTGACGGTCAATTTTTTCTTCAGACTTTTCCCGTTTGTCTCTTTCCCTCAAAACCAGTTAATATTAGTATTATTATTATTATTTGAAACTCGGATGTTGAGCCATAAATAAATGTGGAAGAGAAAAGGACATATGGATACGAGTTAAGAGTAACTCTCCATCACTGTAACATGATACTATATACAGTCAGAAAGTGCAATAACTAGGCACAAAACTGACAGAGTACTGAAACATTCGACGTCCTGACACCTAGCTTCAACACATCTCCGTAGCGCTAACCGACAGCCTTCCAACTTGGAAGGTTCAAGGTTATGGAAAAGACCAAAGAGGGGAAGGCAAGCGCAACGAAAACGAGCAAAAGCTACAGTCCCAACGGAACAAAGAATGTCGATTGTTACTGGACGATGACGAGACCAGTACGATATTTGACAAAGCGGTCTAACTACAATTCGAAGCAGCAAAGCAGCACACCACCCAACTTGGGTGGGTCATAAATATCAAAGATAAGTAAAGAAAGGGAAGCTTTGCGAAAACGAATTGTACAAGCCGAAAGCCAAACTCCTACAGTACTCCTCATGCATGACATTGTGATGGACTAGTTGACTACAAAACAAGTTGTTTCACACGACGTACGATGTGTTGAAGCTAGGTGTCAGGACGTCGAATGTTTCAGTACTCTGTCAGTTTTGTGCCTAGTTATTGCACTTTCTGACTGTATATAGTATCATGTTACAGTGATGGAGAGTTACTCTTAACTCGTATCCATATGTCCTTTTCTCTTCCACATTATTATTATTATTATTATTATCATGATTTGGGACTCCCCGGGTGCTAGTTTGTACGTGAAGTGTGTGGGTGGGTCTTCTCTGTCGACTTGATCTTCTTACTCTTACTCAGATATATCAGCAGAAATTATTATTTTTGTTCACATATGTCTTGGTGCTGAAATGATCAGTAGTCTTTTCGGCACTTTCTTTGATTTAGTCAATGGTCGTGCCACGCGTGGTCAGGCTTCACGTCTGGTTCGTGTCACGTTTTTGCCGGGTCCTTCCGGTCGATCCACTGTTCAGTTCATTGGTAGTGTGTACTGGAACTGCCTGCCGCCTGATGTCCGCTCCATCGCAATTCCTTCTGCATTTAAGAAAGCAATTACAAACGATATCTTAAACTCTCTTACCCTCTCCGAAGATGTCAAAGACGCATAACTGTCAACATTCTCTCAACCCTGGAACCTTTGCATCCGTTGCATTATTTTCATGAAAAATTCATCAAATTCCAATTCTTTACTTGTAGTACTCCCTCATTGATTTGTTCCCATCTTCTCTTTGTGCCTTGTTCATGATTGTATTTTCCTCTTCCTCCTTTTCTATATCACCACCTTCATTATTTTGTGAGAACTGTGGCAATACGCCCAGTGAGAAGGCAGATTTAGCCTGTGCTTCTGGTGAGGTAAAATAAAGCTAAACAAACAAACAAACAAACAGATAGAGGTACTGCAGGCAGTTGCACGCTCCTGCGGTCATGCTCTTGATAGTAGAGAGGTTGTCGATCCACTGTTCAGTTCATTGGTAGTGTGTACTGGAACTGCCTGCCGCCTGATGTCCGCTCCATCGCAATTCCTTCTGCATTTAAGAAAGCAATTACAAACGATATCTTAAACTCTCTTACCCTCTCCGAAGATGTCAAAGACGCATAACTGTCAACATTCTCTCAACCCTGGAACCTTTGCATCCGTTGCATTATTTTCATGAAAAATTCATCAAATTCCAATTCTTTACTTGTAGTACTCCCTCATTGATTTGTTCCCATCTTCTCTTTGTGCCTTGTTCATGATTGTATTTTCCTCTTCCTCCTTTTCTATATCACCACCTTCATTATTTTGTGAGAACTGTGGCAATACGCCCAGTGAGAAGGCAGATTTAGCCTGTGCTTCTGGTGAGGTAAAATAAAGCTAAACAAACAAACAAACAAACAGATAGAGGTACTGCAGGCAGTTGCACGCTCCTGCGGTCATGCTCTTGATAGTAGAGAGGTTCTGCACAACGAAAGTTCGAACGAAGTTTCGCGACAGGCCTTGCGAAAGTGTGTACGAATTTTCGCACGAACTTTGTGTTCTGCACATTTTCGTAGTTTGCACGCGCCAAGTGCACGTACAACATGACCCAATCTCATGAAACTTCCTACGAAAGTTCATTTCGCGTTCCCTGCAAGCTTCGCGTCCAAAGTTGCGAAAGTTCGTGCGAAGTTTCTCACTTCGCGACGTAGAGCGAAAGTTCGTACACATTTTCGTTTTGCAGAACCTCTCTAGTATCAAGAGTACATAACCCAAGAGTGTGCAACTCCAGCTATGGGGTCTGCGACGGCAGAACTTCACATCACGTGATGAACCCGTACACATTATTTGCACTCTGTGCATGATAGATACTGGGTTGTACGCAGCCCTGCTTTGGGTACAACTCTCTTGTGGTCACTTTGCACGTCTGCCAGCATAACCTTTTGAACCATGCACGTGATGTGAAGTTCTGCCGTCGCAGCACAGCATAGAGGTTGTGCAGGCAGTTGCACACTCTTGGGGTTATGTACTCTTGCTATTATTGGTTGTCAGTTACCCACTCAGGTCGTTTCAACAGTTGGGAGGGCGGAAGTTGTGTTGGACATTATTTCATTGCCCAGTACAAGCCGCAGCAAGACCATTTGACGGCGGTTTCTTCGTAAGGCTTGCGCAAATGCTTCTCGATTTGTATGTTGCTCTTTCTGCCTATGTCAGATTCCAGGCTTCCACTTGCTAGGGGACCTGGTTGTAAATAGAGCAAAACTACTTGGTCCGGCTCATCGCAATTGTCGCTGATCTCCCACGCACTTTTGACAGGTAAAACCCAGTCCAATCACGATATCTAACTTACTTTTGCTTGTGAGGTTGTGATGGCAAGATCAAATGAGGCACCAAAGAAAAATGATCGCGACTAGCGCTTTGAATCGCGATGTGTTCGACTTTTTTGGGAAGTGGAAATCTGGCCATTCACTGTCTGTATTGCCAAAAGCCAAGCGCAGCCCCCCCCCCCCCCCCCCCGAAGACCGGAACTGTAGCAGGGGCAACTGACAGCCTAGCCTGGAGAGTGTGACAGGCACGCGGGAGTATGAGCGTCATGCTGAAGAAGAAAGGTGTTTTCGATGTGCGATGCACGCATGCGAGGGACGTTTTGGTTGTTCCTTTTGTTCCTTCGTGGACCTGGCAGCAGCATTACAATAGTCGTGGTCAGCGTATCCAGCGGAGCGTATGACAGCTGTCTGGAGAGGCCTGTATGCCTCATTCGAAGGCTCTGTTGAAACACACTGTGGTGACACACAGGTCACACTGCCCACAATGGTTCCTTCAAGCATCCAAGTGACAGCCACAACTGTTCCTTTCTCATTGCTGCCATACGATAGGCTGAGAAAGCAAGAGATACTCTACCAGTCTATGCCAGCAGCTAGACACCAGCAATCATTTTTAATGTCAGCTCATGTAACGGCGGCAGCTCGAGTGATGGAGAGTTGAATGAACTCTGGACCTGTAAGAGTGTGAGTTCAAGAACACACTCCTTCGCTGATTTATTTCGTGCATTTTGCTTACCTTGCTTCCCTTCTGTGACTCGATTCGCCTAATTCCATGGCTGAATTTTTTTCTTGTGGCGGAGAGTATTCATGTATCATGCTTCCTCACTATGCCTACTGAAAATTTCGCAGAGCGGCAACAAAACTCCTGTTCTTAGTGGTGATAGATAAGCGACAATTGCATTGAGCCGGACCAAGTACAATCTTCAGTAAGAGTACACCTCTCAATAGACGAGTTCGAATTGCAGAGTGAATGGGAAGAGAGCAGGTCTGCCCTGAAACCAGTTTACCTCTCAAAAGAATGATGATGCTTCAAAATAGTATCATTAATGTTTTATTAAAATAAAGATTATTCTTTTCGAGCTGGTTATGTGTACATGGTAAAAAATAAATAAATAAATAAAGATGGCGTAACTCCTCATAATGATTATTTTTTTGAACTTCTACTGCACACAGCTGCACCAATTCCTTGACTACACAAAACGAGAGAGCTTGGAAGCCAGGGCCCTACGTTATGCTTTTTTTGCCTAGCTCATCGTACATGTTGCTAGAACTGATGGAAATGTTTTTTCCGTTGATTGGCTACATCATTGTATTGCAAAAACGTTTCAATCAGTTTGAATAAGAGTTAGGCAAAAGTATTTGCAGAATTTATTGCGGATTGTTATTTTCTCTCACTTCATCCGCTTTTAGTTTTCTCCTTCTTTTCCTTTTTATCTCCTTATAATCGGATTTTCTGGCCTTTTTACATAGACCTGTTGAGCTAATGAGGTAAAATTATATTATTCCATGCAATACGATAAAATACAATAATACGAAAATGTCCTTACCTTGATAGGAAGGACGTTTAGCAATGCGAAAATTCGAACTTTTGGTGGTGGTGATATTTCGCGAAAATCTGGTTCGAAAAAGAAAACTTGTGAGGTTTAGCAATGCGAAATGACTTTTTCTCGAAGCTATTTGAATCTTATAGTACTGTTAGGTTCACGATTTCACATATGCACACATTCGCACACTCGTACGTACTCGCACACTCGAACTCACCTTTACAGGCGCGCACTCACTTTCACTCTCGTACTCACCTTTACAGTCGCGAACTTACCTTTACTCTCGTACTCACCTTTACAGGCGCGAACTCACCTTTTCAGGCGAGCACTCACTTTCACTCTCGTACTCACCTTTTCCGGCGCACAGGCTCGTACTAACCTTTTCAGGCGCGCACTCACTTTCACTCTCGTACTCACCTTTTCAGGCGCGAACTCACTTTCACTCTCGTACTCACCTTTTCAGGCGCACAGGCTCGTACTCACCTTTTCAGGCGCGAACTCACCTTTTCAGGCGCGCACTCACATTCACTCTCGTACTCACCTTTTCAGGCGCGCACTCGACGTACTAACCTTCACAGCCTCGTACTCGCCCTTGTTGCTTTTCCTAACCTTTTCTTCCTTTGGCCTGGGTAGCTGGACTCGCGCTTTAGCACATTTATCTCCATAGCTACCCAGGCCCTAGATAAGCTCTGGCTGGAACCTTTTCTCTTCCCTTGTCTTGTCAGTTAGTCAGTCTTATCTTGTCAGTCTGTCTTCCGATATCGAACTTCTGAGACTCACTTCCTTTGTCATTATCAACTTGAACCTACTCGATCCTGGTCCTATTGTGATTGTGATTGTGGCTGAACTTAACAGTACCGTACCGTATATGCAGCTCAGTCTCAAGCAGGGGGCTGTAAAATTACTACTCCCTGTAGCCAAATGCGTACCGAGAAAAGAGAAAGTTACTTTCGCAAATCACTGCAACTTCGCGTCCAAGTTTTCGAAGTTTCGAGCTTTTTTTCTGTACTCGTTCCCAGACTCGAATTTTCTTTCGAACTTTCGCATTGCTAAACGTCCTTAGTGTGCTTGCGCTTTTAACTGTTGCTGGCGGCCGAATGCATGGTTGCCTGTGGAGCACATTACATAACTTTACAGTCTCCTGTAATACGCATCCTGTCCCACGGCAAAAGAGGCTGCAGATTTAGTTTTTCTGCGCGTTATCAGCAATGACTACTGGTCTTCAGCAACTTGGGTCTCCTGTAACACGCATCCTGTCTATGCTTTCGTAATGCTAACATAATGCTCGGGATAGCACTCGCTACTGATATAGTAAGTGGTCGTTGGTTGCTCCGACAATTTCATTGTACTGTTGCACGATATGCTATACAACATCCTTCCACCGTACAACACCGTATCGATGTCTGGCGCTAACTCTGTCGCCTTGTGTATTTACGGTAATAGGGACAAGTACGGGATAGCGCCAGTCGGAGGTCCGTCTGCCACAGAGCTAGCGCCAGACATGAAATTGTCGGAGCAACCAACGACCACTTAATATATCAGTAGCGAGTGCTATCCCGAGCATTATGTTAGCATTACGAAAACATAGACAGGATGCGTGTTACAGGAGACCCAAGTTGCTGAAGACCAGTAGTCATTGCTGATAAAATCGCAGAAAAACTAAATCTGCAGCCTCTTTTGCCGTCGGACAGGATGCGTATTACAGGAGACTGTAAAGTTATGTAATGTGCTTCACAGGCAACCATGCATTCGGCCGCCAGCAACAGTTAAAAGCACAAGAACACTGTCAAGGTAAAGACATTTTGTATTATTGTATTGTATCGCGATATCGTTTGATCCTAGATGGTGGTGGCGTTCCCACGGCGGATGCGGAAAACTCGGCTTCCAGCCGAGTCTCACGCGAACCGTGAAATTTAATTTTATCGCGATATCGTATTGTATGGAATATAATTTTACCTCATTGGCTCAACAGGTCAATGTAAAAAGGCCAGAAAATCCGATTATAAGGAGATAAAAGGAAAAGAAGGAGCAAACCAAAAGCGGATGAAGTGAGAGAAAATAACAATCCGCAATAAATTCTGCAAATACTTTTGCCTAACTCATATTCAAACTGATTGAAACGTTTTCGCAATACAATGATGTAGCCTATCAACGAAAAAAAAACATTTCTGTCAGTTCTAGTAACATGTACGATGAGCTAGGCAAAAAATGTCCTGATGTCTGTCCTGACGTTTCTTGTGACCGGCGCTGACTCTGCCGATCAAGGGCGTTCTGGACTCGACGGGATCTCTCTTCCGACGTTTCCTGTGACCGGCGCTGAATCGCCCAATCACGCTTATTTTGGAGTCGAGGAGATGTCTGTCCTGACGTTTCCTGTGACCGGCGCTGACTCTGCCGATCACGGGCGTTCTGGACTCGACGGGATCTCTCTTCGACGTTTCCTGTGACCGGCACTTAATCGCCCGTTCACGCTTATTTTGGAGTCGATTCTCCGTCTGTCCTGACGTTTCCTGGGACCGCGCTGACTCTGCCGATCACGGGCGTTCTGGAGTCGACAGGATCTCTCTTCCGACGTTTCCTGTGACCGGCGCTGAATCGCCCGTTCACGCTTATTTTGGAGACGACGGGATCTCTCTTCCAAAGTATGTTTTTGCTGACGCATCCTATCACCTATTCCGCAACTATCGTCCATTCTAATTTTATTTCCTCCTCGTCTCCCTATTTCTTTCCAGATCTCCCTCTCCATCAGGGAGTCGTATACATAATACGACGAATATTGTGGCCAGCTGTTTGTGGCCAGCTGTTATGTACAATCCTGTAGAACCTTTGCAGTCAGCTCCAGGCGTGACACAAACACACAAACAAACAAACAAACACCAAATCACAGATACAGGACAGATACGGTAGCTCCAGGCATGACACAAACACACAAACAAACAAACAAACACCAAATCACAGATACAGGACAGATACGGTAGCTCCAGGCGTGACACAAACACACAAACACACAAACAAACAAACTAAAGCTGTATGGACCCTGGCTAGCGCCAGACGTTACTGAAGCAACGCAAAGCTACTGCATAGCTACGGGAATAAAATATCGATACCTCCCCAAATCTCTCCAAAAATATTCTTTTCGAGTGAGAGTAATGAAGTGAAGTAGGGACTGAGGAAGAAGGAAAAAAGAGAGAGAGAGAGAGAGAGAGAGAGAGAGAGAGAGAGAGAGAGAGAGAGAGAGAGAGAGAGAGAGAGAGAGAGAGAGAGAGAGAGAGAGAGAGAGAGAGAGAGAGAGAGAGAGAGAGAGAGAGAGAGAGAGAGAGAGAGAGAGAGAGAGAGAGAGAGAGAGAGAGAGAGAGAGAGAGAGAGAGAGAGAGAGAGAGAGAGAGAGAGAGAGAGAGAGAGAGAGAGAGAGAGAGAGAGAGAGAGAGAGAGAGAGAGAGAGAGAGAGAGAGAGAGAGAGAGAGAGAGAGAGAGAGAGAGAGAGAGAGAGAGAGAGAGAGAGAGAGAGAGAGAGAGAGAGAGAGAGAGGGAAAGAGGGGGTGGGGGTGGAGAATGATTGAGAGAACTAATGTGAGACTGTGAGGAGACAAACAACTTTATGACCGCGGCTGTTTGATGTTGCATGTTTTTTAAATGATAGCTGTTACAAAAGTGAGAGATGGCGTTTTTTTGGTTTCGTTGTGTTGTGCTTTGTTGTCCTGTCCCATTGTTGTGTTGTTGGCAGGTGGGAGTAATGGCCATGGTGTTTACGTGTTGTTGTGTTGTTGGCAGGTGACAGCAGTGGCAGTGGTGTTGACATGGCTATGGCGTCGGCATTCCAGATGCGTGTGTGCATTGCCTTCATCATCACCTGCACACTGCTCCCGGTCGGGGCACAGGACGGTGAGTTGAAGGCCTGCTCCTCTTAGCTGACATACCTGTCTCTTTCCCGTTTCTTTTTCCCCATCTTCCCTGTGCAGTCCTCGCACGAAAGCTTGCTAACAAATTTGGCAAATAATCATTTGACTTGGGCTCGTTTGCCGTTTTCCATTATTTATTATGGAAAAAACGGGCCCAAGTCAAAAATTATGCTGCGCCAAACATGAAATGTAATACAGCAAACACACTAAAACTATTTGTTGTTGCCGTGAATGGTTACCATGGAAACCGGTATATCCGGTAGCGTCAGTGGTTTGCATTCAATTATATTTCAGTAAACCCGGTTTGCTTTCTTTGTTGGCTTTGCCCGCGTCAAGATTATTTGCTTCTCCCATCGTTGCTTCATAACGGTGGAGTATTTACATACGCTGAGGGCACATCGCGTAACAGCATCACCGAAACTTGCTATGTTGCCATGACAGCACCATACAAAATGTACAGGCTACAATGGTCCCACGAGACGAACCTCTTGGTGTTCGGCGAGACGCACAACGGCAGCCTGTCCCTACCATTGACCTGGCCAAGTGGCGGTGCCCTCACACCTGGTGATAGAGGCATGTACCGGTGTGCAGTGACCTATTACAATCCACCGGCGTATACACAGAATATCACCGTTCGGGGATCGCAAACGGTGGAGTTACATGTGTCGGGTGAGTCCAATGAAACTTGCGATGGTGATGATTTTTTTGATTTTTTGTATTTTTGTACAGTATCGTTTCTATTACAAGCCCAGTCTCTTGTAGAAGCCCAGTCTCTATTATAAGCGCACTCCAAGAGGGCTTCGAACATAGACAAGCCCAATCTCCAGTATTAGCGCAGGGCGTATAATGGAGAACTATATGGATCATGTCCATGCATTTTTGACGTCAAATCAAGTTACACACGTTTGTGGCGCAAATCCGTGGTCCCCATGATACGAAGTACTGATTCAGTACAGCAGGGAGCACAAAGCTGCACTGTGTCTGGTGGGAAACGCTCTGCTACTGGTACAACAAAAAAATTAATACTAACCATTGCACATGCACCAAATGAATGAAAAATTATAAGCCCAGTCTCTGTATATGACGCCTAGTCTCTTATCCCAGTCTGGACTAATCGGAAAAATATAAGCCCAAGGTTGACCATGTGCGGTTCATCCACGGTCCATAGAGGGATCAATTTGCGGAAGGCAAACAGCGGAATACACAGACAGAAGAACGAGCAGTTGCGGTTTCGTAACTCTGAGTTTCACGAACTGAATTGATCGTCAGACGAAAATATCTTCACTGATCGATAGGGCTGAAACAATTATACCGATAACTCGCATATCGATCGTTAAGAGTGCAATCGATAATCGGTAGTGTTCAAAACGAGTGCTAACAATTTTTTATGCATGTATATGAGTGACAGTATTCCAGCCCTTGCACTCCATCCGATAGTGAATACGAGTACAATCATGTACTTTCAAGCGCAGTAAAATTGATTTGTGGCTTTGAAAGAGATCGGAAGAGAGCACTCTTTGTCTTTTCAGTTCATTTGCGGGAAAGGTCAGAGATAAGAGCAGTTGCTGGAGGGTAATGACAAGATTCTTCCCTCTAGAAACAACATGAAATTCTCTAGGTCATGTTCATAAACCAGTCAGATGTCTACAGATGTCAACAGTGCGGTGCCACAAATTTCTAACGTAGCACAAGTATCGTGGAATTTTTTCATAAACTGGTGTTCGAGGTACACGGGTAGATCCGACAAGAATCGATAAAACCAATATATCGATCGTTAATGATATTGGTTGATCGTTAAGAGTTATTCAATGATCTTTTCAGCCCTACTGATCGATGTGTTACCCTCAGACAGGGGAGTGTACACCATCCTGGTGAAAAATGATGCAGGGACTGATAGTGTGGAGTTCGCGATTGATATTCAGGGTATATGCCGATTATTTTGCCCTTTTCTTTCTTCCTGTCAGTCGTGTGGTTTATCTGCTTGCAGTGTCTACATTATCTGTCTGTCTGTCTACCTGGTTGTCTGTTTGTCTGTCTGTCCTTCTGTCCGTCGGTCTGTAAGTAGGTATGTAGGCATCGCACCTTACTTTTTTAATCACAATTTCCATTTTCACCTTTCTTTTCTCCACAGTTCCTCCAATTGTGGACACGTTCTCAACCCTGAACAGTACAACAGCTCTCTTGAACTTGAATATATCATTTTACGTTACCCTGAAACACGTACCCAATCCACCGCCAACTACTGTCGCGGACATGGAAATCCGGTCGCACATCTAGCGGCCCCAGGGCGCTGACCATGAAGCCGTGGATAAGCGGGACACATATGCATTTATGTGCTGCAGCGTGCTGGTAGCATTGGGTTCAACCAAGAGTACATAACCCCCCAGAGTGTGCAACGCCTGATCCAGCTCTGCATAGGGTCTTGGTCGAGCGGAATCGGATCTTTGCGTCATAATACCGTACACATCCGAGGGGAACCCGGGAAGTCGCGGGTACTCTTGGATCAAAAACAATGGTGCCCTGCCTCGAGACCGGCCTTGCGCTGGTGTGAAGTGTACGCATGACATCAGAAGATCCGATTCCGCTCGACCAAAACCCTACACAGAGCTGGATCGGCGTTGCACACTCTGGGGGGTTATGTACTCTTGGTTCAACATGTGCACTGCACACAGCGTTCTGAACGCGCTGAGGGCGCCGGCCCCGGTTAATCGACTGGATTTCCACGTCCACAACAGTATCACGTGGCATCACAACGGATTGGCGATCAAAACTAGCACGAGCAGGAAAATAATTGTCTAGCGATATCTTGTCACTAAAAAGAAAGTGATGTTCTTCCTGGATGTTCAGGGTACGATGTTCTGAAATTACTGCCTGTGTGTGTGCGGGTACCTCATCAGTTACCGAGGCATTTCTGCCTTCTGATATGGAATTCAGCACCTTCGTGTGCACAGCCAAGTAACACGTGTAGCTGCAAAAGCATTTTAAATTCTCAGTCGTGTAACAGAGACACCAATGCTATGAGTATAGTATATAGCAATCTTGTGTCAGTCTCGAAGGAATGTAATAATTTCTTTCTCCGAGGACGACTTTTTCCTTTGTTGTGCTTCTTTTTTAGAGGCTCCACGGATATTGAAAGTAACCAAGACTCAGACGAAATCGTCTCTCACGTTGATGTGCTTCGCGCATGGTGAGAACGTTTCCATAACCTGGAAAAAACCGGTGGGATTCTCGCTCACCACTCCGCCAGAGGCAGCATCAAGTGGAGGGAAGACGTGGACAGCCATTTCCAACCAGCCGTCCGGCTACACGGCGGGGACGTATAGGTGTTCAGTGTCCAGCGCTGCTCAGTGTAACGTTCCCGGCAACCGCACCAGAGTGCTGCCGTGTTTCCCCACACCAATATCTCAGACTGTCACCGTACTGGCATACGGTAAGTTTTCTACACTGAACACCACTTTGGAGTGGTTATTTTACAACTTCGAGACTGGCCTACGGCAAGTATTGTGATGTGAATAACCCATTGGAGTGGTTATTTTACAACTTAGGGCAGTGAACCTGTGCATCATGGTATCCTGGCAGCCCAGTAGGCGAGTATGCAGTTCAGGCCATACACTGTACAGTCTATACTGGGATGAAACAGCAGATGGAGAAATTTTTAAAGTTGCCTCTTGTGATGTGTGCACACTTGACGGAGGTCATCGTGTGCAATCTCATTGCACGTTGATCCACTCAGTCATGGCCGCAGGGCATTGGAAATGCTGCTCAGATGCTGCTCAGAATGGATAGGGTGAGTACACCCCCTCCTGAACTCTGCCCACTGGAAATCTTCTTCATCTTCAGTTGTTTGTTAGTTTGTCCAAAGAATGTTGCCGCTCGAGGTTCAGGAAAAGAAAAAGAACCACTAGAGGGTGAGTCCAAGACAGAACGTGCTCCTGTTTGCTGTTTTAACCATGTTGTTTCCTTAGTAGTGTATGAGTTACACCGGTGTAGTAGTAGTACTCTGTTTCCCGACTTGTATTTTCATTCCTCTCCAGTGCAACCGATTGTGGAGACGTTCTCAACCTTGAACAACACCAGACTGCTCGGTGAAAACGTCACGTTCTCCATCACCCTGAAACACACACCATATCCACTGGCCACAATCGTATGGATGCACAATGGATCTCCAATCAACACAAGCTCAGACAGGATGGAATTGTCGAGCAATGGCTTGCGCTTGGCACTGATCGATTTATTACCCTCAGACAGGGGAGTGTACACCATCCTGGTGAAGAATGATGCAGGATCTGATAGTGTGGCGTTCTCCATCGGTATTCAAGGTATATGTCGATTTTTGCGCTTCGCTTTCTTTCTGTCAGTCGTGTGATTTATCTGCTTGCAGTGTCCGTCCATCCATCCCTCCGTCTGTCCGCCCGCCCGTCCGTCTGTCTGTCCTGTGTTTCCGTCTGTGTTTCCGTCTGTGTTTCTGTCTGTCTGTCTGTCCGGCCGTCCGGCCGTCTGTATGTTCGTCTGTCTGACTGTATGTTTGTCTGTCTGACTGTCTGTTTATCTGTTTATCTTTCTGTCAGTATGCATGTTTGTCTGTCTGCCTACCTACCTGCTTGTTTGTCTGTCTGGCCTTCTGTCCGTTGATCTGTAAATCGGCAGGCAGGCGTCATACCTTTCTTTTTTCATCACACTTTCCTTTTCACCTTTCTTTTCCCAACAGTTCCTCCAATTGTGGACACATTCTCAACCCTGAATAGTACGCAAGCTCTCAACTTGAATATCTCATTTTACGTTACCCTGAAACACGTACCCAATCCACCGCCAACTATCACGTGGCTCCACAACGGATTGGCGATCAACATGAGCACGGGCAGGAAAATATTGTCTAGTAATATCTTGTCATTGAGCTTGTCAAATCTGGAGATGTCCGACAGTGGAATGTACTCAGTCATGATTAACAACGCCGTCGGATCAAAGAAAGTGATGTTCTTCCTGGATGTTCAGGGTATGTTCTGAAATTACTGCCTGTGTGGGTACCTCATTAGACACCCAGGCCTTTCTGCCTTCTGATATAGAATTCAGCACCTTCGTGTGCACAACCAAGTGTTAAACACGTGTAGCTGCAAAAGCATTTTAAATTCTCAGTCGTGTACCAGAGACACCAATGCTATGAGTATAGTATATAGCCATCTTGTGTCAGTCTCGAAGAAATGTAACAACTTCTTTCTCCGAGGACGACTTTTTCCTTTGTTGTGCTTCTTTTTTAGAGGCTCCACGGATATTGAAAGTAACCAAGACTCAGACGAAATCGTCTCTCACGTTGACGTGCTTCGCGCATGGTGAGCACGTTTCCATAACCTGGAAAAAACCGGTGGGAATCTCGCTCACCACTCCGCCAGAGGCAGCATCAAGTGGAGGGAAGACGTGGAGAGCCATTTCCAACCAGCCGTCCGGCTACACGGCGGGGACGTACAGGTGTTCAGTGTCCAGCGCTGCTCGGTGTAACGTTCCCGGCAACCGCACCAGAGTGCTGCCGTGTTTCCCCACACCAATATCTCAGACTGTCACCGTACTGGCATACGGTAAGTTTTCTACACTGAACACCACTTTGGAGTGGTTATTTTACAACTTTGAGACTGGCCTACGGCAAGTATTGTGATGTGAATAACCCATTGGAGTGGTTATTTTTAGTGTTGAAACGATCTCACCGGATACTCGTTAGCTCGCTCGCCAGAAACTCGGCTCGTTTGTGCGGCCAGCTCGTTTGCACTAACGAACACCGTACACCGTACTCCGTACACCGTACTCCGTACACATGGCAGTACATGTCGACCGGGGAGTCGTAAAATATTTTTACGACTCCCTGATCGATCGAGAGTCCAGTCCCGATCCCGCGCAAAGTGAAAATCACTCGCAGTTACAGGTGACTGTATGCCTGCACGACACTTGAGTTGTTTCAGTTGTCGTTGCAGCTTTGGTGGACTCTACTGATGTCTTGTTCCGCATCTGCTGACCTGTCGCAGGATATGCTTCGGTCACCTCTCCATTCGAGTGAAAGTTACGCTCAGTCGTTTGGAAGTTTTCTCCCGCGATGCAGCGAAGACCAGGGCCACTTGCAATCTTTGCAAAACGGTCTATTCTTACAAAGGCTAATCGACGACGGCGCTGAAAAGACATCTCGACACCAAACAGCAGTCCGAAGTGAAGCAGCAGCAACCCCAAATGCTGGCGGTGATAATTTGAACCAGCTGAAAAAAATCGAACTTAGAAAAAAATTATTCAAAAAAATAATCATAATTATTTGCCACATCAATGAAACTCGTTAGCTCGCTCGATAGCTTGCTCGTTAGTGGAAGTGATCGCTCGTTTGTTATAGATACGCTCGTTTCAACACTAGTTATTTTACAACTTAGGCCAGTGAACCTGTGCATCATGGTATCCTGGCAGCCCAGTAGGCGAGTATGCAGTTCAGGCCATGCACTGTACAGTCTATACTGGGATAAACAGCAGATGGAGAAATTTTTAACCCTTTACCGTTTGTACGTACAAATTTCGACCGCTCGCGGTCGATGACTTCTATGTGCACAGCGCTGGACTGGTTGACCGCAGATAGCTGGGATTTTCCGTACTTGTAGCAAAGATGTATGCGCAGAGGGTGCCAACAATTTTTTGATGTGATGCAATATAAAAAATCATGGAAATCACGACTTGAAAAATGCGCTTTGGGAAAAGTGCGTACCCTTCGACTTTTGGTATGTATTGCCTGCAGATGTTTTCGACTTTTGCTTGAGCTGGCCTCGCGACTGTCTGCTCTGCTGTGCAAGCCATGGACGCGGAGCAAGCTCTTTCGCTTCTGGAGACCCTTCCTGATGACCCTGTCGCCGCCTCATCCAGCGAAGATGAATTTGTGGAGCCAGACGATCCTGTTGAAAATATTTATACTGAAGACGACAGCGACGATGACATGGCGAGTGAAAGCAGCGCCAGTGAGAGTGACATGGATGTCACGGACAACGACAGTGTCGCCGAGATAAGTGCTACTAATGGTGGAAGGGGACAGGGCAGAGAGAGAGAGAGAGAGAGAGGGAGAGAGAGAGAGAGACGATTCGGCCGTGGAATAGGCTGTGGTTACGGTAGAGGTTGTGGTGTACAGGTACTAGGTACACAGCCAGCGGTGCAACCTGCACTAGTCGATATTTGCAATACTTGGGACAATACTGACACCGCTGTGACTTGTAACACTCCTGCATTCCAGCCAGAGAACGAACCTGGTATCCACTTACCTGAGGGAGCCACTCCAGTGCAAGAATTTGATTTATTGCATATTGGAACAGTTTGCCCGATCGGCAAAAAAATCCAAAATAATTATTAGAGCTAAATAGTGCAATTTTTGTTCGTTTCTGGACTTGAAAGTTGTTGCATCGCATTCCTGAGGGTATTTACTTTGAGAATCACCCTATGTTGTACATAATAAAAGTGAAAAATAAAAAAAGTTACGGCATGAACAATGACGGTCTGTTTTTTTCTTTACAAATACCTAAAACGGTAAAGGGTTAAAGTTGTTCGTTGTGATGTGTGCACACTTGACGGAGGTCATCGTGTGCAATCTCATTGCACGTTGATCCACTCAGTCATGGCCGCAGGGCATTGGAAATGCTGCTCAGATGCTGCTCAGAATGGATAGGGTGAGTACACCCCCTCCTGAACTCTGCCCACTGGAAATCTTCTTCATCTTCAGTTGTTTGTTAGTTTGTCCAAAGAATGTTGCCGCTCGAGGTTCAGGAAAAGAAAAAGTACCACTAGAGGGTGAGTCCAAGACAGAACGTGCTCCTGTTTGCTGTTTTAACCATGTTGTTTCCTTAGTAGTGTATGAGTTACACCGGTGTAGTAGTAGTACTCTGTTTCCCGGCTTGTGTTTTCATTCCTCTCCAGTGCAACCAATTGTAGAGACGTTCTCAACCTTGAACAACACCAGACTGCTCGGGGAAAACGTCACGTTCTCCATCACCCTGAAACACACACCATATCCACTGGCCACAGTCGTATGGATGCACAATGGATCTCCTATCAACACAAGCTCAGACAGGATGCAATTGTCGAGCAATGGCTTGCGCTTGGCACTGATCGATTTATTACCCTCAGACAGGGGAGTGTACGCCATCCTGGTGAAGAATGATGCAGGATCTGATAGTGTGGCGTTCTCCATCGATATTCACGGTATATGTCAATTTTTGCGCTTCGCTTTCTTTCTGCCAGTCGTGTGATTTATCTGCTTGCAGTGTCCGTCAATCCATCCGTCCGTCTGTCCGCCCGCCCGGCCATCTGTCCGTCCTGTGTTTCCGTCTGTGTTTCTGTCTGTCTGTCTGTCCGGCCGTCCGGCCGTCTGTATGTTCGTCTGTCTGACTGTATGTTTGTCTGTCTGACTGTCTGTTTATCTGTTTATCTGTCTGTCAGTATGCATGTTTGTCTGTCTGCCTACCTACCTGCTTGTTTGTCTGTCTGTCCTTCTGTCCTTCGGTCTGTAAATCGGCAGGCAGGCGTCATACCTTTCTTTTTTCATCACACTTTCCTTTTTCACCTTTCTTTTCCCAACAGTTCCTCCAATTGTGGACACATTCTCAACCCTGAAAAGTACGCAAGCTCTCAACTTGAATATCTCATTTTACGTTACCCTGAAACACGTACCCAATCCACCGCCAACTATCACGTGGCTCCACAACGGATTGGCGATCAACATGAGCACGGGCAGGAAAATATTGTCTAGTAATATGTTGTCATTGAGCTTGTCAAATCTGGAGATGTCCGACAGTGGAATGTACTCAGTCATGATTAACAACGCCGTCGGATCAAAGAAAGTCATGTTCTTCCTGGATGTTCAGGGTATGTTCTGAAATTACTGCCTGTGTGTGTGTGGGTACCTCATTAGTTACCCAGGTCTTTCTGCCTTCTGATATGGAATTCTGCACCTTCGTGTGCACAACCAAGTAACATGTGTATGTAATGTTCCTGAGTGAACATCAAGTTAGTTCCTGCACTACATAGATCAACTTCACTCCACAAGTCCCAGACAACAACTAAAGTGTATTCCCTTTGCTATGCAGAAGACGTTGCTTCAGTAACGTCCGGCGCTAGCCAGGGTCCACACAGCTTTAATTTGGTGTTTGTTTTTTTGTGTGTTTGTGTCACGCCTGGAGCTATCCCGTATCTATCCCGTATCTGTCCCGTATCTGTGACTACAAAGGCTCTACAGGATTGTACATAACAGCTGTCCACAATATTTGCTGGCTTCCGTATCTGTCCCGTACCGTACCAATATTCGTCGTATTATGTATACGACTCCCTGATGTAGACGGAGATTTGGAAAGAAATAGGGAGACGAGGAGGAAATTAAATTAGAATAGACGCTGAATAGGCGATAGGATGCGTCAGCAAAAACTTACTTTGGAAGAGAGATCCCGTCATCTCCAAAATAAGCGTGAACGGGCGATTCAGCGCCGGTCACAAGAAACGTCGGAAGAGAGATCCCGTCGACTCCAGAACGCCCGTGATCGACAGAGTCAGCGCCGGTCACAGGAAACGTCAGGGCAGACATCCCGTCGACTCCAGATCGCCCGTGATCGGCAGAGTCAGCGCCGGTCACAGGAAACGTCAGGACAGACATCCCGTCGACTCCAGAATGCCCTTGATCGGCAGAGTCAGCGCCGGTCACAGGAAATGTCAGGACAGGCATCCCGTCGAGTCCAGATCGCCCGTGATCGGCAGAGTCAGCGCCGGTCACAGGAAACGTAAGGACAGACATCCCGTCGAGTCCAGAACGCCCGTGATCGGCAGAGTCAGCGCCGGTCCCAGGAAACGTCGGACGACACAAATGCAAGAAATGAGCGTAGGAGACTTAATCGTGCTGATTCGCGTCATGCTACTGCAGCTGCGCACATGGAAACTGTGCGGTCTATGGTAGAGGAAACAATCATGCAATGGTGTCCTCTTTGACGCGTGAAGAGCGCCAGCAGTAAAGCCACCTATATAGCCACCTATACAATGATGTGGCCAATCAACGGAAAAAAAACATTTCCATTAGTTCTAATAACATGGACGATGAGCTAGGGAAAAAAGCATAAAAGCATAGCGTAGGGCCCTATGCTTCCAAGCTCTCTCGTTTACAGAGAACAAGGAAAGATAAAGATGCACAACCAGGATCCATATATGTACACAGTACGGGAATGCATAGGGGTAACCGATCCCGGAACGGATCGGGTACAACAACGGGACCACAACATCTCCCTTTTTATGTTCGAAGAGAGAGAGGTAACAGCTCGAAGAATCCTTAGTCATATACATACAGAGGAGATAGGGTAGAGACAGACAAATACTACATGCAGTTCACGATCATCAGTGTCAGCGACTGGAGTGATCATAGCATGAGTAATGACTAATGCGTTTACAGGGCGAGTCTGTTCAGCGGCCGGGATGGACGTGCTGATCGGCGCAAGGTAGGCTGGAACTCGACATCAGCGGATGGAGGCTCTGCAGGTGTAGTGACATTCAACTGCGGTGTTGGTGTTGGTTGCACATCGGGTAGCAACTTGAGGTGGCGACGGTTGCGGCGGTACTCGGACAGGTTGTCAGTCGTGACAATATAGGACCTGTCGGAGACGCGGTCTGCAATCACGGCTTCGGAAGCGAGATCTTGCACCCAGATTCGGTCGCCTTTGGTCAATAGTGGCAGAGATTGTGCTCGGTGTGAGTCGTACGTCTCACTCTGTCTGTCTTTCTGCCTCACCTCGAACTTCCTTAGCTTGGCAATATCAGGCCAACTTGGAGCGAGGGATTCCGCTGTACATGGGAGGTGTGTGCGTAGACGACGACCAAACAGGAGCTTGGCTGGCGAGTAGCCATTTGCGAGGAGTGTTGCCCTGTAACTGAGTAAGGCATCGTTGAGTCTGTTGTTGGTCTTCAGGAGACGCTTGAAGGTTCGAACCGCTCGCTCAGCTTCACCGTTGCTCTGTGGGTAGTGCGGGCTACTGGTGCGGTGGGTGAGCTGCATTTGGGCTGTAAATGCGGCGAATTCAGCACTTGCGAACTGTGGACCGTTGTCCGACACAAGGACTTGAGGGATGCCATGGATGGCGAACAGCTCGTGGAGTTCCTTGATGACGGCTCCAGAGGTAGTCTTCCGTAGCGAGATGGCGTGAATGTACCTGGAGAAGTAGTCGACAGCAATTAGGTACTCCTGACCGTCATGTTGGCGGAGGTCGACTGCTATTCTCTCCCATGGCAAAGAGGGAAACGCAGTTGGAGACAGAGGCTCCGGCGGCTGAAAACGATGCTTGGTGCAGGTCAGGCAGTTCTGCACGCATTCTGAAATGGCACGTGTGATACCTGGCCACCAGACGGAGGACTTCGCACGGGCCAGGCACTTGGTTATGCCTTGGTGACCGTCATGCAAAGTGGCAAGTGTAGCTTTGCGCTCGGATGTCGGGACTCGATCCGAAATCCGTGATACAGCAGACCATCGTAAACTGAGAGCGAGCCACGTTCGTTGCGGTAGGCTTCCAGGTCTGCGTTGACCATGGTCGGCCAGCTATGGAGGGTATGCTGGATTACTTGTTGCAGGACTGGATCGTCAGCAGTGGCTGTAGCGAGAGCGTGTTGCTTGGTAGGACTGCATAGAGACGACAGGACAGCGGCGATGGTGGCTTCCGAGTCACTGTGTCGGTCGGATTCGGTTGCTGGCATGTCAGGAAGAGGAGCTCTGGACAGCGTGTCGGCGAGAACCATGTTCTTGCCAGGCACATACTCCCCCTGTACATCATAGCGCATGAGTCTGATCAGTAGACGTTGGCAGCGTAGAGGTACTCGGTCGAGGTCACGCGTGTTCATTAGTAGGACCAGCGGCTTGTGGTCCGTCTGAATGGTAAATCGGGGCGCTCTGTAGAGGTATTGATGGAAGTGCTCACATCCCAGACCGAGGCGAGGAGCTCTTTCTCAATCTGGGCATACCGTTTCTCTGCTTCTGTCATGGTGCGTGAGGCGTACGCAACCGGCTTCCACTCATTGTCGTGGAACTGTAGCAGTGCAGCACCCAATCCATAGCTGCTCGCATCGGCCGTGACGATGGTCGGTGCAGACGGGTCGTAGTACGCGAGACACGAGGCTGAGGCAGCTAGGCATTTGAGCTCTGTGAAAGCTAGCTCATGTGCTTCGGTCCATTGCCACGTCGCATCGCACAGGAGTAGCTCGCGCAGTGGGGCGGCTACGGTCGACAATGACGGCAGAACCTTGGAGAGGTATGTGAAGAGTCCAAGTGCACGACGGAGCTCTTCCACATCAGTTGGTGCTGCGAGGCGCTCGATGGCATCCAGCTTAACTGGGTCAGGGTGGACACCCTTGTCGCTGATACGATGGCCCAGGTACTTTAGGGACGTGCATCTGAACTTAGACTTGTTCGGATTCAGTGTCAGACCGGCATCGCGGAGTCGGTTCTCGACGGCGAGCAGAGTAGCATCATGCTCAGCCACCGATGAAGCATAGACGATGATGTCGTCTATGAACACTGCTACGTTAAATATCACTACGTAGACCTTGTAGCCGGCGCTGGAATATCTCAGGCGCTCTCGTTATGCTGAAGGGAAGGCGCTCGAACTTGAAGCGGCCATAGGGAGTGGTAAACGTCGTCAGCAACGACGCTTCCTCGGAGAGTGGGATCTGCCAGAAGCCAGATATGGTGTCCAGCGTGGAGAATCTGGTAGAACCGTTGAGTTGTGCGAGCGTGTCGTCCACAGTGGGTAAGGGGTAGTGCTCTCTCTCTCTTGACGCTGGCATTCAGGCGCTTGAGGTCTACGCATACACGCACGTTGCTGTTCGGCTTGAGGACCGACACGAGGGGTGAACGCCAGTCGGTCGGCTGCTCGACTTTTGTGATGACGCCTGCTCTTTCCATACGCTCCAGCTCGGTACGAACCTTGAGGCGGATGTGTATTGGAATGCGTCGAGCATCTACACCGTTGTATGGTTTGCAGTCTGGCTTCAACTCAATCTCGACTGGCTTGCCTAGCATGCATCCGATTTTCGGCTGGGCATCTGAAGAGCCAACATGAAGACGTTGTACTAGGCCCATCTGTTCAGATGTCTGCCTGCTCAGCAAGTTGACACCACCAGTGGCAATGACCAGGATAGTGACTGGGTACTGTACATCACGGAACACAGCACAAGTGTGGAACTCACCCTGTATGCTGAGCTGGTTCCCATCAGTCCCAATCATACGTGTCTGGCACGGACAGAGTACTGGCAGTGCAGATAAAGCGTTGTAGCTGGCCTGCGTCATAATGTTGAGATCAGCTCCAGTGTCGATTTTGAAATCGAGGTGTGAGCCGCACAGATCCAGTCGTACTATCCACGGCTCGTCAGCGGTGTGGGTAGAAGCAGCTCCAAGGAACTTTTCGCCGACGGGGTCCGACTGCAAGTCAAACTCAGCTACATGCACATAATCGTTGTGTGCTGCACTGGCGGAGGCAGACCGGCAGACGCTGGCGAAGTGTCCAGACTTACAACACTTGTTACAAGACTTGTCCTTGGCAGGGCATTCGTCACGGTTCGATTTGTGGTCTTTGGAGGAGCCACACCACGAGCACTTCTTACTGTTGCTCGAGTCTCGTTGGGACGTGGCCTGTGGTCGCTTTCCCGTCGATCCGTAACTTGCGTAAGCAGGGGACTTGCCGTGTTTCCGTTGCGGTGAGGTAGCTGCAGCAGCTTGGATCACCCGGGGTGTTTGCTGCGCGACCTCGGCGTTTACGGACTCCGTTTTGCGTGCCAAGCTCACGGCAGACTCGAGTGTCAGCTGAGCGTGATCCTCGAGCTGTAGTCTCAGTGATCAGCGTGGGGAAACACAGCCGCACGCTGTGGCGGTTGCCGGGAGCGTTACACATAGCAGTGCTGTACACATTACACGTGTACGTCCCCACCGTGTAGCCGAACAACTGGCGGGAAATGGCTTTCCACGTCTTCCCTCTACTTGTTGCGGCCACTGGCGGATTGATGAACCAGAATCCTCCAGGACTTTCCCAGGTTATGGAAACGTGCTCGCCATGCCCATAGCACGTCAACATGAGAGACGTCTGAGTCTGAGTCTTGGTTACGTGCAATATCCGTGGAGCCTCTCAAAACGAAGCACAACAAAGGAAAACAGTCGTTTCGGAGAAAGAAGTTAATACATTTCTTCGAGACTGACACAATGTTGTAACTCGTTTTTCTCTTCCTGCTCCCAGTCCCGTGCCATCTCCACACTTATACAAATGGACGACGATAACTACATTCAGAAGACTGTTTATTGACACGACGAAGAAACACAACTAGACATGACGAACTCAAGACGAAGACATGATGAACTCAAGACGAAGACAGCTTTTCATACCACAGCAACATGCGCATGCACCAACATGACGTACACACAACGTACACAAAATAACGTACTACAACAACAAGATTGCTATATACTATACTCATGGAGTGGGTATCTCTGTTACATGACGGAACATTTAAAATGGTTTTGTAGCTATACACTGTTGTGTGTTCCGTTGTTGTACCCGATCCGTTCCGGGATCGGTTACCCCTATGCATTCCCGTACTGTGTACATATATGGATCCTGGTTGTGCATCTTTATCTTTCCTTGTTCTATGTAAATAAACTTTAGTTGTTGTCTGGGACTTGTGGAGTGAAGTTGATCTATGGAGTGCAGGAACTAACTTGATGTTCACTCAGGAAGATAACATGGTGTCAGAAGTAGCAGTTAAGTCATGTCGTCTGCCAAATTTCCTGTACCTGCCCCGTTCGATTTCTCCACCCCAGAAGCATGGCCACTCTTGAAGACCCGTTTTGAACGCTTTAGTTCTTTGTCCAAATTGGACGAGGCGGACGGGCAACACCAAGTAGACACATTAGTTTACTCCATGGGAGCCGAATCTCTGACCGCGGATGATAAGAAGAAACTCGACAAGGTTCTGGAGGCCTTTGACAAGTATTTTCGCCCGGGTGTAAACGTAATCCACCAACGGACATTGTTTGAAAGGAGTGTCCAGAACCCAGGTGAATCCATGGAAGAGTATGTGCGTCGTCTCCGTGCCGCAGCCAATCACTGCGCGTTTGACAAGCCCGATGAGCGTATCCGCGACAGGTTGGTGGCCCATATGACGAACCGAGAAGTTTCGAAGAAGCTACAGCTCGAGGATCATGCTCAGCTGACACTCGAGACTGCCGTGAGAGATAGAGACTCGAAGATAGGATTGGCTTCGGCTCCCATGAAGTAAACTAATGTGTCTACTTGGTGTTGCCCGTCCGCCTCGTCCAATTTGGACAAAGAACTAAAGCGTTCAAAACGGGTCTTCAAGAGTGGCCATGCTTCTGGGGTGGAGAAACCGAACGGGGCAGGTACAGGAAATTTGGCAGACGACATGACTAACTGCTACTTCTGACACCATGTAATGTTCCTGCGTGAACATCAAGTTAGTTCCTGCACTCCATAGATCAACTTCACTCCACAAGTCCCAGACAACAACTAAAGTTTATTGACATGAACAAGGAAAGATAAAGATGCACAACCAGGATCCATATATGTACACAGTACGGGAATGCATAGGGGTAACCGATCCCGGAACGGATCGGGTACAACAACGGAACACACAAGTGTATAGCTACAAAACCATTTTAAATGTTCAATCGTGTAACAGAGATACCCACTCCATGAGTATAGTATATAGCAATCTTGTGTCAGTCTCGAAGAAATGTAACAACTTCTTTCTCCGAAACGACTTTTTTCCTTTGTCGTGCTTCGTTTTTAGTGGCTCCACGGCTATTGAAAGTAACCAAGACTCAGACTCAGACGTCTCTCATATTGACGTGCTACGCATATGGCGAGCACGTTTCCATAAACTGGGAACGTCCTGGAGGATTCGCGTTCGTCAATCCGCCAGTGCCCGCGTCAAGGAGAAAGACGTGGAAAGGCATTATCCGCCAGTTTTTCGGCTACCCGGTGGGGACGTACACGTGTAAAGTGACCGGGCCTGCTACGTGTAGCGTTCCCGGCTACCGGCAAGGTGTGCGGCCGTGTCTCCCCACGCTAATCACTCAGACTGTCACCGTACTGGCATACGGTAAGTTTTCTACACTGAACACCACTTTGGAGTGGTTATTTTACAACTTCGAGACTGGCCTACGGTAAGTATTGTGATGTGAATAACCCATTGGAGTGGTTATTTTACAACTTAGGCCAGTGAACCTGTGCATCATGGTATCCTGGCAGTCCAGTAGGCGAGTATGCAGTTCAGGCCTAGCACTGTACAGTCTACACTGGGATGAAACAGCAGATGGAGAAATATTTAAAGTTTTCTCGTGTGAGATGTGCACACTTGAAAGAGGCCATCGTGTGCAATCTCATTGCACGTTGATCCACTCAGTCATGGCCGCAGGGCATTGGAAATGCTGCTCTGAATGGATATAATGAGTGCCCCCCCCCCCCTCCCCCCCCCCCCCACTCCTCTACTGCGCACCCTGGAATCCTTCATCTCCAGTTGTTTGTTAGTTTGTCCAAAGAGTGTTGCCGCTCGGGGTTCAGGACAATAAATAGTATCATTAGGGGGTCAGTCCAAGACAAATCCTCCTCCTGTTTGCTGTCTTAACCTTGCAATGTACTGAGTGCTGCATGAGTGACACCTTGGTATTGTTCTGTTTCCTCTCTACTTGCATTGCTTCCCAGTCTGACACCTTGGTATTGTTCTGTTTCCTCTCTACTTGCATTGCTTCCCAGTCTGACACCTTGGTATTGTTCTGTTTCCTCTCTACTTGCATTGCTTCCCAGTCTGACACCTTGGTATTGTTCTGTTTCCTCTCTACTTGCATTGCTTCCCAGTCTGACACCTTGGTATTGTTCTGTTTCCTCTCTACTTGCATTGCTTCCCAGTCTGACACCTTGGTATTGTTCTGTTTCCTCTCTACTTGCATTGCTTCCCAGTCTGACACCTTGGTATTGTTCTGTTTCCTCTCTACTTGCATTGCTTCCCAGTCTGACACCTTGGTATTGTTCTGTTTCCTCTCTACTTGCATTGCTTCCCAGTCTGACACCTTGGTATTGTTCTGTTTCCTCTCTACTTGCATTGCTTCCCAGTCTGACACCTTGGTATTGTTCTATTTCCTCTCTACTTGCATTGCTTCCCAGTACCGCCAACTGTGGATACATTCTCAGCCTTCAACACCACCAGACTGCTCGGTGAAAACATCACGCTTCACGTCACTCTGAAACGCACACCATATCCACTGGCCACAATCGTATGGATGCACAATGGATCTCCAATCAACACAAGCTCAAACAGGATGCAATTGTCGAGCAATGGCTTGCGCTTGACACTGATCGATTTGTTACCCTCAGACAGGGGAGTGTACACCGTCCTGGTGAAAAATGATGCAGGGACTGATAGTGTTGCGTTCACCATCGGTATTCGGGGTATGTGTTAATTAATTTGCCCTTCACTTTCTTTCTGTTATTCGTGTGATTTATCTGCTTGCAGTGCCTGTCTGTCTGTCTGCCTGCCGCCTGGTTCTCTGTCTGTCTGTCTGCCTGGTTGCCTGCCTGCCTGCCTGCCTGTCTGTCTGCCTGTCGGACTGTCGGTCTGTCTGTCTGTCTGTCTGTCTGTTTGCCTGCCTGGTTGCCTGCCTGGTTGCCTGCCTGTCTATCTGTCTGACTGTCTGACTGTCTGTATATCTGTATGTCTGCCTGTCTGTTTGCCCTTCTTTCTGTCTGCCTGTCTATCTGTCTATCTGTCTATCTGTCTGCGCGCACGCCCGCGCGCATGCACACACGCACACACACACACGCACACACACACACACACACACACACACACACACACACACACGCACACACACACACACACACACACACACACACACACACACACACACACACACACACACACACACGCGCGCGTGTGCATGTATGCATCACACCTGTTTTCATCACACTGTTCTTTCTCACCTTTCTTTTCTCCACAGTTCCTCCAATTGTGGACATGTTCTCAACCCTGAACAGCACAAAGGTTTTCAACGAAACCATCTCATTTCACGGTACCCTGAAATACACACCCAATCCGCCGCCAACTATCACATGGCTGCACAACGGAGCTCTGATCAAAACTAGCATGAGCAGGGTGGGATTGTCTAATGATGGTTTGTCTTTGAACTTGTCACATCTGGAGATGGCCGACAGTGGATTGTACACTGTCTTGATTAACAACACCGTCGGATCAGAGAAATTGATGTTCTCACTGGATGTTCAAGGTATGACGAAAATAGCTATGATACCCGTTGTCTCTATGTCTGTAAGTCAAACAAGAAGGAGAAAAGGGCCAGTTGGAATTTGTCCGAACTTAGAGAGTTGCATGCGAATACAATTATCAGAGGAATCCCAAATGCCCATCTCTATGTCTCTCTCTCTCTCTCTCTCTCTCTCCCTCTCCACGTCTCTCTCTCTCTCTCTCTCTCTCTCTCTCTCTCTCTCACGCGTGCGCGTGCGCCATGTGCACGATCAATCGATCCAAACTTGAAATTTTCAAATGCAACCCCACAACTTTAATATTATCCTTTTTCTATTCAGAAAGGATAAATGCAACAAATGGGATTTTCGGTCTTTGACCACTTCTCTGGTGGGTCTGATCTGCTCACCTCCCATCACTTTAGGAGCTGCATCTGTGCCTTGATCCTTGCGGAGAGTGGCATTTCTACCGATGCGGTAATAACAAGCCGCATAAAATACTATTGGCTCAACATCGGAGTTTTTTTGTTTACCTTTTTTCCTTTTTTTTAGTCACAAGATCCTATAGAGATTCTTCATGGTACTGTTAGGCCCACAAGTAATTACATGTAGTTCATATTCATTAGTTCATGCATTATTCATTTGGCCTGGGTAGCTACTTGCACGTCCATGTTTGCCATAGCTACCCAGGCCCTTTATATTGCCTTGCTCTCTCTTCAACTCTCTCTCTTCAATAATCTCCCTCTTCACTAATCACCATGTAGTCTTTTCGTTCGACCTGGTCTTAGTCTCCAATAAATGTCGTTCCACCAACATACCTGTTCCCGTTGTCAGTCTCTTGTTCGGACTCAACAGTGCTACTGAAGGGTCATGTGACCTGTTCACCAGTACTACAGAAGGGTCATGTGACCTGTTCACCAGTACTACAGACGGGTCATGTGACCTGTTGACCAGTACTACAGAAGGGTCATGTGACCCGTTCACGAGTACTACAGAAGGGTCATGTGACCTGTTCATCAGTACTACAGAAGGGTCATGTGACCTGTTCACCAGTACTACAGAAGCGTCATGTGACCTGTTCACCAGTACTACAGAAGGGTCATGTGACCTGTTCACCAGTACTACATGATACCTGCTAACAAGAGTACATAACCCCCCAGAGTGTGCAACGCCGGTCCAGCTCTGCATAGGGTCTTGGTCGAGCGGAATCGGATCTTCTGATGTCATGCGTACACTCCACACCATCGCAAGGCCGGTCTCGAGGCAGGGCACCATTGTTTTTGATCCGAGAGTACCCGCGACTTCCCAGGTTCCCCTCAGATGTGTACGGTATTATGACGCGAAGATCCGATTCCGCTCAACCAAGACCCTATGCACAGCTGGATCAGGCGTTGCACACTCTGGGGCGTTATGTACTCTTGCTGCTAACCATCCCGATTTGGCCAGGACCGTCCCGATATCGAGGGTGGTGATAGGCACCCAAAAGTGCATTTGTCATATGCCTCACAACTACAATTGTATGCCTAGGTATGTCGTTGTCCCGGCGATCTCAGGTTGGCAGGTATGCTGCATAGTACAGTTTTGCGAGACATCTATAGGAACAGCCGTCTGTTTACTAGTAGATTTACAGTAAATATCGGATATAACGTGCCCCTTTGATTTTCGAAAATTTATCACTATATCCGGTGCATCACTATAGCCGATTTGCATGTTTGACCGACACATGGCACATGACTGCACATGAAATGATGCGTACACGCTGGAAAAAGCATGCTGAAACGAAAGTGCATGCATGCTCCGCGGACTGTGTTCCGGTGCATGACACAGAGCAGTGCATGGCAGTGCAGTACGAGTACAGACTGTACATGTACTAGAACTTCGATACATCATGTGGCATGGCTGCTTCTTCAGCGTGTTCTCCAAAAAAAGCCTGAGCTGGATCCGCACTCATGTAGATCTACTCGGTGTCCAATGAGTTGCGTAGAGCCAGAAATAGACATGAGTGGCTGTGTACGTGAGTTGGCAACATCATCGTGAGAGGCAACACAGCCAGAAACAGACAAGAGCATGCAGAAAGATACAGAAAAGTTTTGTGATCATCACTCTTGATCATTATATGCGATATTTTCCTGTACATTTGATATGGTTTGCTTCCTGAAGTCCATCACAATAAGCGATATATCGGTATAGCCGATAATAGTGTATATAGTGATATTTTAGCTGTATTTTTTTCTGATTTGATTTTGATTTTGACGTGTTCTATCACTATAACCGGTATATCATTATATCCGGTCACTTTATAAACGATACTTACTGTACTCACTTTCTCTACCCATGAAAACCTCTACCGTAAGTCTGCAAATTTTCGGCCCATTTAAATTTCGGCCTTAAGTCCATTTCGGCCGAATCAAATTTCCGGCCCGTACTGCTGCTGCCTGCATACACTGTCACACTGAACCTTGCAAAACAAAAATTCCGCATCAACAAATTTTCGGCCAAACATGACCAAGCCCAAAATAGTTGAAAACAATTATGCGCCGACTATTTGTTGACTTACCGTATTGAAAATTCTGACAAAGAAGGTTTGCGGAACAAAACATTGATTTCCATGCTCGCGTGGACCATTCAAACTGCCTTCACTGCTCTCCTGACATCCTCTGCTTTGCAGTTCCTGTGGTGGTGGACACGTCGGCATCCTTGATCTCTACCAAACTAAAGGGCGGGAACATCACGTTCTACGTCACTCTGAAACGCGTACCCAAACCATGGCCGTATTTCACGTGGACACACAATGGATCACCAATCAATATATCGACTATTGGTCTACAACAGGACAAGACTAATTTCTCACTCACTATTACTGATCTTGGGATACAAGACAGTGGAGTGTACATGATCTCTTTGAAAAATACTCCAGGATCAGTGAATGTCACATTTTCCCTGGATGTTCATGGTAGGTTTTATGATTTGTACATCTCTGTGCACGAGCGGTGTGTGTGCGTGTGTGTGTGTGTGTGTGTGTGTGTGCGTGTGTGTGCGTGTGTGTGTGTGTGTGTGTGTGTGTGTGTGTGTGTGTGTGTGTGTGTGTGCGTGCGTGCAATGCACGCCATTGCGCGAAATCATGCGACACCTGTACATTTTCGATCTGCGGGATGAAGATGACGACGCCCATGCATTTGTTATCAGGGAGTAGTAAGATTCTGGTATATTACTACTCCATGCCTCAAATCGTACTGTCAAGGGCATACGGGGGAGTGTAGCATGCCATCGCTTACACTTTCCAGCTCAGGGTTGCCCTGGCCACCAATGGACGAGATTTCAGGGTCACAGCTTGCGCAATGGCTTTGTACTTTTGGAATGGCCACTCGACGTACTCAGCACAAATTCTCAATTGCATGCATGCACAATATGTTCAAATTTCGTATTTTTGGTGACTTTACCACCGTCATGGAGGCTGGTCGGTGAGGAGCAGGTAGTCATCGCTTGTGGAATCAAACACATGATTCCACTGTGTGAATGATGCTGCAAGAGCCAGGTCCATACGAGGAACATTCGCTTTGTGTTTTGCCATCGAAGTAAATCAATTTCCTTGTTTTCAGTGTTTTTTTACGTTCAACTTTTCTGAGATTTTTGATTTATTGACTTTTCATTCTTTCACCACACCTTGGTATTGTTCTGTTTCCTCTCTACTTGCATTGCTTCCCAGTCTGACACCTTGGTATTGTTCTGTTTCCTCTCTACTTGCATTGCTTCCCAGTCTGACACCTTGGTATTGTTCTGTTTCCTCTCTACTTGCATTGCTTCCAAGTCTGACACCTTGGTATTGTTCTGTTTCCTCTCTACTTGCATTGCTTCCCAGTCTGACACCTTGGTATTGTTCTATTTCCTCTCTACTTGCATTGCTTCCCAGTACCGCCAACTGTGGATACATTCTCAGCCTTCAACACCACCAGACTGCTCGGTGAAAACATCACGCTTCACGTCACTCTGAAACGCACACCATATCCACTGGCCACAATCGTATGGATGCACAATGGATCTCCAATCAACACAAGCTCAAACAGGATGCAATTGTCGAGCAATGGCTTGCGCTTGACACTGATCGATTTGTTACCCTCAGACAGGGGAGTGTACACCGTCCTGGTGAAAAATGATGCAGGGACTGATAGTGTTGCGTTCACCATCGGTATTCGGGGTACGTGTTAATTAATTTGCCCTTCACTTTCTTTCTGTTATTCGTGTGATTTATCTGCTTGCAGTGCCTGTCTGTCTGTCTGCCTGCCGCCTGGTTCTCTGTCTGTCTGTCTGCCTGGTTGCCTGCCTGCCTTCCTGCCTGCCTGTCTGTCTGTCTGTCTGCCTGTCGGACTGTCGGTCTGTCTGTCTGTCTGTCTGTTTGCCTGCCTGGTTGCCTGCCTGCCTGCCTGCCTGCCTGCCTGCCTGCCTTCCTGCCTGCCTGTCTGTCTGTCTGTCTGCCTGTCGGACTGTCGGTCTGTCTGTCTGTCTGTCTGTTTGCCTGCCTGGTTGCCTGCCTGCCTGCCTGCCTGCCTGCCTTCCTGCCTGCCTGTCTGTCTGTCTGTCTGTCTGTCTGCCTGTCGGACTGTCGGTCTGTCTGTCTGTCTGTCTGTTTGCCTGCCTGGTTGCCTGCCTGCCTGCCTGCCTGCCTTCCTGCCTGCCTGTCTGTCTGTCTGTCTGTCTGCCTGTCGGACTGTCGGTCTGTCTGTCTGTCTGTCTGTTTGCCTGCCTGGTTGCCTGCCTGCCTGCCTGTCTGTCTGTCTGACTGTCTGACTGTCTGTATATCTGTATGTCTGCCTGTCTGTTTGCCCTTCTTTCTTTCTGTCTGCCTGTCTATCTGTCTATCTGTCTGCGCGCACGCCCGCGCGCATGCACACACACACACACACACACACGCACACACACACACACACACACACACACACACACACACACACACACACACACACACGCGCGTGTGCATGTGTGCATCACACCTGTTTTCATCACACTTTTCTTTTTCACCTTTCTTTTCTCCACAGTTCCTCCAATTGTGGACATGTTCTCAACCCTGAACAGCACAAAGGTTTTCAACGAAACCATCTCATTTCACGGTACCCTGAAATACACACCCAATCCGCCGCCAACTATCACATGGCTGCACAACGGAGCTCTGATCAAAACTAGCATGAGCAGGGTGGGATTGTCTAATGATGGTTTGTCTTTGAACTTGTCACATCTGGAGATGGCCGACAGTGGATTGTACACTGTCTTGATTAACAACACCGTCGGATCAGAGAAATTGATGTTCTCACTGGATGTTCAAGGTATGACGAAAATAGCTATGATACCCGTTGTCTCTATGTCTGTAAGTGAAACAAGAAGGAGAAAAGGGCCAGTTGGAATTTGTCCGAACTTAGAGAGTTGCATGCGAACACAATTATCAGAGGAATCCCAAATGCCCCTCTCTATGTCTCTCTCTCTCTCTCTCTCCCTCTCCACGTCTCTCTCTCTCTCTCTCTCTCTCTCTCTCTCACGCGTGCGCGCGTGCCATGTGCACGATCATATCAATCCAAACTTGAAATTTTCAAATGCAACCCCACAACTTTAATATTATCCTTTTTCTATTCAGAAAGGATAAATGCAACAAATGGGATTTTCGGTCTTTGACCACTTCTCTGGTGGGTCTGATCTGCTCACCTCCCATCACTTTAGGAGCTGCATCTGTGCCTTGATCCTTGCGGAGAGTGGCATTTCTACCGATGCGGTAATAACAAGCCGCATAAAATACTATTGGCTCAACATCGGAGTTTTTTTGTTTACCTTTTTTCCTTTTTTTTAGTCACAAGATCCTATAGAGATTCTTCATGGTACTGTTAGGCCCACAAGTAATTACATGTAGTTCATATTCATTAGTTCACGCATTATTCATTTGGCCTGGGTAGCTACTTGCACGTCCATGTTTGCCATAGCTACCCAGGCCCTTTATACAGTCTGTATCGGCTATAGAGTGACCGGATATAAGAATATACCGGCTACAGTGATATTGGTACGAAATATCAAAAGCAAAACGTATTTTATCCAGTACAAATATCACTATAACCAATATTATCGGATGTAATGATATATCGGATATTATGATGGCAACAAAGAATCAAAACATGCACAACACACTATATTATTATCGGCTATAGTGATAACTTTAAAATACATGTAGCAATAATATCAAAGGCCCTATTTTTTAACTTTCTTCAC